TACTATATATATATATATATATATATATATATAGGCCTATATTTATTTTTGCTGATGGTACTTGTCTTACAAGATCTTTGTAATTTTAGTTAGTTCACCTCTCTTTTATTTTGATTTTAATTTTGCATTGTGATTCTGTTCCTTTAGTTTTCAATCTAAAATTGTATTGTTAAAACTTTTGAGTTAAGCTGTAGGCTTAAATTGCTGGTTAATTTCTTGTGCTTTTTCTTTATATGATTTAGTTGTTCTGTTTTTTAATTTTCTTCGTATTCTAGTCGTTATTGTTATCCGACCGCACCACACTAGTTGTGTGTGCCACCGTTCTAAAGGTGAAGTGTCAATAAATAAATAAACGATACGATTTATTGGTTCTCTCCTTTCAAACGGAGGAACACTCTCGCACAGGAAAGGTGAGACCCAAATGATACAATATAAAAACGGCGCCCTACAGCAGGGTGGAGCCAGAACGTCTCTGACCGGGGGCGGGGCGGTGGAGTGTGCCCAATAGGTAGTCCACACCCACTCTGCCCTACCATGTGGCTGAGGTGAGCAAATTTGAAGAATAGACCCATCAGATGCTCGGAAATGGCACTCTCAGATGGTAAAAAATGCTTTTTCAAAGCAGTGTTCCTCGATAAAATTATTGACTTCTACCTACGGGAGCTATGCTCCCACTATCTTAGACACCTTTCAAGAGCGTCGCAAAGGTCTAATCAAGGACCTATTATAGTCTATTCTAATGATAATGACGTATTCATATTCGTTATCGTTTTCGTAAGGTTGCGAAATCTCCCTTATTTATTCGTATACTAACATTGTGTGTGTGTCATCTTTAAACGTTAATATCAAAACAAACTCATTTAAATATTCACTTTGCCTAAATATTTAAATGAGTTCATTTTATAATTGAACATTAAATGGCCTCTTGATTATTTAGTAAATTAGTATAGAAATAAATATGGACATATTGTGACGGCATCGCTCCCGTAATACATACGATGTACGTGCGTCCTCATACATCTGAAGTGTTATCATAGGTAAATGCGTGGATAAAAGGAACGAAGCGATGCGTGTTGAATTGTATCAGCGAACGATTAGATAGATAAATATGGTTATTAAATCGAAAATGAATAGATGTCCTGTTGGATAAATAGATATTCAAATATCATTATTTACGTTGAATGAATGATTGTGATGTATTTGATTAGTCTGTTGATTGACATAAGATTTTGAAGGCCAGATTCATAACAACCTCACCTATGATTAAAAACTTCAACCAAGACAAGAATTGGATTGGATTTATTCGGTGTAAACACCAAGGATAGCCCACGAAAGTCTAGAAGAAAATTTCCAGTCCATCTGGTGGTGATTGTGCAGTACACCGGGAGACAATAGTCCAGTCCGAAATGTAGCAATATCAGAGGTTGCATTTTTTTTTGCTATATTTGTTAAAAATTGGATATGATGTAGAGTAGACATTGATAAATCAAAAAAGTATGTGCAACATTTTTTTTTTCATACGCAGAAGGGGGGTTGCCAGCAGTTTCAAAATGGCCGCCATTTTTTCCTAAAATTGTCACTAATATTGTATGTTTATGTTATTAAAATGCAGCATTCAATTGGAAATTCACTCATAACAATGGAAAAAACTACAAAATAACATGCA